GTTGGAATTTTAAAATGGTTAAGAAGCTAAGCATAGTAGCATATGTTCATAATTTTAGTTTGGCAGGGACGAAAGTGGGAGGGCTGTGAATCCAAGAAACATCTAGTAGGACCCTGACTCCAAACAAACAAACAAACAAACAAGTAATGAAGTAAAATAGGAAACAAGGTGAGTCTCATCACTGCCCCATACTTACAGTGGCCTAAGGGGGCAGGAGTGGATGCTCCACCCCCTCTGTCTCTAAAGTTCCCTTTGACAATTTATTGGATTAATCAAGGCTGCTCATAAACCCATCTCCCAGGTGCAAGATAAAAGAGGGAAAATGGTCATCTTATTTTTTTCAGCTTCTAAGAAGGAATTAAGCTCCACATTTCACCAAGCCGCACACAGCAGGAAATACGTGACCGAAGGAAAAGGGTTTCAGACAGAAGGCAGGAGAAAAAAATATAGATATTTACTACATTAGTGTTTCCGGTCTGTCTTTGTAAATGACTGTATTCACACAGGAAGCAACAAGAGAACTTTGCTATTTGGGTTGCTTGTTTCCTACACTGATATGTTGTTGTAAGGAAGTCCATGGCACGTCCACATCCTGCTAATCCATAACAATCTGTGGAATCAGAGGAATTGGATTCAATACTGGACTTGTCCTGACCAGCTGTTTGGGTTTCTTCAAGTCACTGTTAAGGACACAGTGAGCCTCAGTGCTCTCACAAGGGAAAAGGCGTAGATGAAGCCTATAGTAGTTATCAGAGACAAAAATCTCTACCATTGGTGCTAGCTTTGATGATGGAAAATCTAACCAGAAAGCTACAGCCAGTGAGACCACTGAGCACTTGCAATATGGTTGACATCATTGAAAAACTGGTTCTACCATTCTCCTTCATTTAGTGAATTTAAATTTCAATGGTTTCTTGTGACTAGTGACAATTGTATTGGATAGTGTAACATTGGATCCTAAGACCTGTAAAAATAGGAGTCTTGTCTGCCTTGCTAGTTGTCTATTCTACTGGCTTCATGTACCAGTATCAAGTTATCAGGTTGCAAATTTCCTGTAAGCCTTTATTTGGTCAGCAGTGAGTCAGACACTGTGCTGGGCACTGGGCACCACCCTGTGAATACATGAGGTACAAAACATTGTTCTTGTGGCACTTCGTTCTTTAGTGGAAACACCATAGATGAGTAACATTTTAGTATGATAAATGATGAAGACCAAGACAGGGTTTGTTGCTCAAATACAGAGACTATACAATAAGAAGGCAGCATGTGAGTGAAGCCATCTCCGAAGCACAGGAGTCAGCCCTGCTGTGAGGGAACAGAAAGGGAGACTGTGCCTGGAGATTCTAGAAACAAGGAGTTGGGGAATTAAGGGATGGCCAGTAAGGCAGGTAAAAGGGCAAGGTAGTTTGTATGGGGGGGGGCCTAGGAGATGTTTTATTAGCAACCTCTTTTACTTCACTTTGAGTGAGGTGGAAGTTATTGAAGAATTTCCAGAAAAGATGTGTCTGTGACACATCTCCTTTGTGTTTTTCAAAGGGTTGCTCTTGCTGTACTGTTAAGAGTGCTGTGACCCAAACAAAGGCTGGTGACATAGAAGGACCACTGAGGAAGCTGAGGGAGACATTCCAGCTACCCAGGCAAGGCAAGACATGGTGATGACTTGAATTGTAGGAGCAGTTCTTGTATAATATTAAAAGGACCAGCCTTAATATTATACTTCCCAGGGGCTCAGAAGAGAACATTATGAACGGCGAGAATTATTTTCGGGAAAAGAATTTAAGTACACCGAGTTCTTTGTTCAATCATTTATTCTTCCAAGTCCTCTTTTCCGTCCTCCTGTGACCTGTGAGTCCCAGTATATATACATTTACAAGCAATAATCCCTTGGCAGTGAAAAACCAGGTTTCCAGGGTCAAGCGGAGGGATGATAAGAATCACACAGAGGGACAGTAATTGTTAATTATCATTTGCAACCCAAAAGGGAAGTGACTAATGGGGAAATGAATTAACTAAGGGCTAAATTTGGGTAATATCAAGAAGAGGGATCTTATGTGCTCAACTATAATTTCAAACTTGATTGGAAGAAAATGTTAAGAAACTGTAAGTCGCTAGGTCAGTGGGCGAAAATAAAACTGCCTTCTTTTTTCCTGTGGCTCCTATCTGTCCAAGCTATCTGCCATTTTTTTTCAGGGTGGGGGAAAAGTATGCTCGGTCACTAGGCAACCTGTGTACAGCTAGATGCCTCTGGTGATAAAGGGAGATCTGGAACTAGAGGTAAGATTTGGGAAAGGAGAAAGTTAAGCTTAATTAGCACATTCGCCAGGCCTTCTCAAACAGGTAGTCTGGACACTTAAGTCAGTTCTTAGAGAGTACAGAGGTATTTTTCTCATAAGGTACTTTCCTCCATCTGGGGATGGACCTGGCCAGATGCTGCCAATGACGATAATTACAGGGAGGCTTAAACTGGGGTTCTGGCTGTGCATAGCTCAAAAGTTTATCTAAATATTTCTAGAAGTGGTTAGATAAGGAGTTAGAGGTCTGTAAACTAGTAAGGTTGTAAGAAAAGGAGGATCTGAGCTAAATTGTGCGAAGCTACTACTTATGGTCCACCTGACCTAGGCAGTGTCTCCATGTGGAATTTGCCTTAACTTCAGGAGACTTATTATGTGGTGGTTTAGACTGTTGTTCCTGTTAGTCTTTGAATGTGGCTAAGGGAGATATCTGATTCCAATGCTAAAAGGAGAAGAAACAGATGGGCCTGAGGGAAGGAAGTCTTTCCTGAGGTTGTTCTCCAAAAACCTCAAATATATATGTCCAAATAGTGATCAGTCCACATTGTTAACAATTCTTACGGAAAAAATCAATTGGGAAAACTATGAAGACACACATGATTTTCATAACAGAAGACAGGTGATATATAACAAGCCAAATAACACCAAAAGCTTCTTGGAATTTGGCTTTCTCTGAAGGAATTCCTTGGTCCCTTCAGGTAGTGGCTTTGCTGTAACCAGCTGAGTTCTTATAATATATTTCTGCGGCCCATAGCAAGCAGCGAAGGTGATATCTTAGTCTATTTTCTTTATTTTAATTTTACTTTTTTTTTGTAGTGCTGAGAATCTTACCTAAGACCTCACATAGTCTAAGCAAGCAATCAGTACATTGAATCATATTCCCTAGCACTTAGTTTACTTTCTGTTACTATGACTGAATACAATAGATTGGGTAAGATGTGCCACATAAAAGTTTATGTATTCACACTTCTGGATGTAGAAATACCAAGGCATCAGCGATTTCCAACTTTTAGTGAAGGCTTTCTTCATGGTATGACATGGCAGAGGATGTCACATGTTGAGATAACAAATATTCCAGAAGGACACACTCATAACAAAGCCACTCCCCTAATAACTAAACAATCCATTAATGGATTAAGTAAGCCACCCATGAGGGCAGAGCCACAAAGAAATACTTATCTATCAGTGGTCCATCTTCCAAACATTATCAGCACATTAACTCAAAGTTGTCTTTAGCAAATGAATTCTCAGGTGCAAATGCTGAAACCATAGTCAGTGACTGGAATGGTCAAGTTCAGGGTTTGAAGGTAACGTTAGCAGCATTGGGTAATGGATTGACCATGGTCTGTGAGGAAAAGATGAGATGAAGACCAAGGTAAAACCAGAAAAAATGGAGTTAGAATTTACTGGTATGAACAGAACTGTGGGTGAGCAGTTTTGGAGGCCGGACAAAGAGCTTCAGTTGACATCTGCTGAACCTGAATCGAAAGAAGAGTGAACATGCTCCAGAAACCTCTCAGCTGCAGCGATCTAGAGGCTGTTTGTAGCAGAGTGTTCCAGCTATCACCTAGAGGAGCAAGTAAAGGCATTGTGCTGTGGAACCTGCTCTTCTGCTCTGTCAGTAGTTGGGCAGTCCCCAGCTACCCCCTGCTCCCAGAGTTCCCAGCTCTCGGTCACTGCCCATTGCTCAAAGGGCAAGCCATCCGGCTGTGCCAGTCACCATGTATTCTGCCTGGAGGAAGCTGTCTAGACAGTGTCTTTCACTCCCTGCTAATACACTTTTGCTTTAAAAATCATTTTAATTCAAAGTGATGAATAGAATATATTGTGTGTGTGTTTCCATAAGTACTTACCTTCCACATTAAAAAAAAAAATTGCCCAATTTCAGTACAGAAGAGATTGCAGAACCCCATCCCCACCGAGACAAACTATTAGTGAGAACATTTAAAGGTAACTTTATCTTTGCTTTATGGAAGTTTCTTTAGAACCAGAAAGTGATGATACGGGAAATAAATGTAATTAACTTTGAAATGCTAAATAGATAGTGAAAACACCCACCTCTTCTTTAGCCTTGGCAAGGCTTTTTCTAGGTTTTGGATTCGTTCATTTACGAAGTCTGGAAGTCTGGCATTTGCTTGTTGTTGAGTTGGTGCCAAGAAAATGAGATGTTTGTCATCTGATAGAACAGAAGGCCTCTTTGATTTCCTGGGAGAGTACAAACTTGGAGGATGTGCAGCCTGCAGAAAAGGAAAGGGAAACCCATAGGATTAGCCCTAGGCTGCCAAGCTTTCTCTTGAGGGGTTTGTAGAACAGAAACCATGTTGGGAGGCTACTCAGCTGCCTAGGACTTTCACTTATTGCTCCTTGCTGAGTTCCTACCTAGAGCCTTATTTAAGAGCTAGAGCTTTGTGTCCAAGTCCTAACTACATCCATATTTCTCCTGTCTGACCTCAGGCCAGCAGTTGACTTCTCTCCTGGTAGCTCTACAAATGCGTACCTTTATTTTATGTCCCTCCTAAGTTCCCTGTATGGAGAAAGGGGTTGTTTGTTCACCAGGGAAAGATGTTTTCATTTCAAACAATCCATGCACACTGATGTGTCTCTTTATATTCCCAGGAGGCAATAGTGTTTTCCTGCTTAGACTCTATTTACTATCCTGTATCATTGTCCATTCAGCTACAATGAAAGCTGTTGTTGATGATATGCTTTTTGCCCTTGGATGAGAGAAGACACCTGGCCTGGAGATGCCTACATGTTGTCTGTACCTTGGACCTATGGTCATTGACTAATAAACAGGAGTCGTAAACTTATGCCTAATCCTTTGACCCAAGGTTAGACAAACGCACAGTGCAACTGGTGCTTCATGACCCCAAGGACCAGGTTAAAGCTATGGGGGTAAGATGTCTTGAAACTACATCCTTGCTTGTCTCCTGGTTCTGTATCCTGTTTTACTCCCTTAGTCTCCTGGAGGTCTTCTGGCAGCATACCCTTAACTGTATGTGCACACAGCCCTAGTTTGTATTGTGTTTCTAGACAACTCAACAACAGGCTCCTGATTCCAGAATTAGGAACACATCTTACCTTGGGAGTCAGAGAGTACCTGGCTAATTTTGGTTCTGGCAAATGGTTTCACTCATAGCTACAATTGTGATATGCAGTGGGCCTGTAGAAGATGACTAATGAGTGACTGTTATCCCTCAAAGAGATGCTTTAAGATGTTTGGCACTTACCTGCAGGCCACAGAGGGCTATTAGGTTGAATTTGTGGGTAAATGCCACCTAATGACCACATCATAAACATGTAAACTATGGTGCCATCACAAGGATTTCACAAAGGCATTGTTTTGAAGTGGGGTCTTGTTAGGTTGAGTCTAAGCTGACCTAAAATATTCATGATCCTCATACTTCAGCCTCCTGAATGCTGAGATTATGGGCATATATGAGCATATCAAAAAATGATTTTAATCTACAAATATTTAAAGTTTTTTCATAGTGCTTAGTCAAGATTTTCCAAATGCTATGGGATGATCTTTCTGTATGCTGTGAGTGTTTATTACTCTCATTGGTTAATATTAAAGCTGTTTGGCCTATGGCATGGCAGGATAAGGTTAGGCAAAAATAAATAAATAAATAAATAAATAAATAAATAAATAAATAAATAAAAACCTGAGGACTTGGATGAAGAGGGGAGGAGTCAAGACAGACATGAGCAAGCTGCTCAAGAAGCAAGATGCCAGAGGACTGGTAAAGCCATGGCCACATGGCAATACATATTAATAGAAATGGGTTAATTTAAATGTAAGAGCTAGTTGGTAATAAGCCTGAGTCATCAGCCAAGCATTTATAATTAATGTAAGCCTCTGTGTGGTAATTTGGGAAGCAGCTGTTGGCTATTTGGGAACAGGCAGACAGGACAGAAAACTCTGCTTCCATTTACATCCAAAAAGAGCATCTTAACCTATTTTTTTCTTCATAAAATATGATCCATGGAACATTGGTATCAACAGCACCTGGAAGTTTATTAGAGATGTAGACTCTTGGGTCTTAATCCAGCTGAATCAGAATTCACATTCTTAACATTTCCCATGAGATTCTTAAGCATTTGAAAATTTGAGAATATTGGCTCAAAGACGTCCTTTCAGCAAATGTATTAGTGATATTGGGTCCTGTGACAGATGA